ATTTTGGTCAATGACATGAGACAAAGTATATGGGAACTGCTGTATGAAAAGTGAATTTACTCTGTAAATCTTCACCCAAATCCTAAAAAAAAAAACAGCAGGCTGAGCAGGAGGTCTCAGGTCCTTGAGGACCAGACAGTTGTGACAGCCATAAGCACCTGAGGCCTAGGGGTCTGTGGTTCCCAGAACCTTTCAGGATCTCTACCAGGCATAGAACGCATTGCCCAGCTCCCAGGATGGGTGAGGGCCCAAGTGTCCCTGAGCTATCCCAGGTGTCAGAGTGTGATCCAGTTCTGAAAGGGGACACAGGTATTTCCTGGAATGACCCAGGACCAGGAGCAGCAGAATCAGAGGGCCCACCTTGTCCTGTTGGTCCGTTCTTCTGCCAGACACCACAGCCAGGCCAAGGATCTAGGCCTGGATCACAAGAGCACAGCCTGACCCTTCAGCATACTCCAGCATAAGCATTTTGTCCATCTTTTTTTTTTTTTCTTCACTGTTGTTAAACATCAGTGGAGGGCCAGGTGCTGAGATGAATGCCTCACCTATGTCACTTAATTTAATCTCCATCAACCTACCGATGAGCAGGTCTTTTACCACCACCCTGTAGATGAGGAAATGGAGGCTCACGGAGGTTACGTGATGTGCCCAAGGTCACGCAGTTGGACAGCGACAGCATGGAACTAGAAGCCAGGACTGCCAAACTCAAGATTGTATACTCTTAGGCCACAGTCCCCCAGACTGGCACCCAAGTCAGGTTGTGCTCATTCAAGGCTCATTCAATCCTGAACAGCCAGGGCCCATCTCTAGGAGAGATGCAGAGTGGCATCCTAGAGGCAGGGACTGAGCCAGAAAGCCATAGGCAAAGTACTTGACTCTAGGGTTCCTCCATTCATACTTTCCAGGATCAGCTCCAGTGCTGATCCCTGGGTATCTTGCTGCCTTGGCCTTTTCCTATTCTGGAGTTAGTACCACAAACCGAGAGGCATCATGCTGCTTCCATAACCGGAAGAGATGCCAACGAGGAAAGAGGCAGCCACAAGTACTGTCTTTTCTCCCATTGGGCAATGAAGTGGGTTCCACCTGGGCCAGGTGTGGAAGGAGGGGCAGAGGAAGGACTGGGACTTACACAACAGACTGCTTGCAGAAGTGGGGGCTGAGCATCTGCTCTAGAACTGCCCACAACCCAGCACTTCCCCCATCCCACTCGGGACCCAGTGCTCTTGACTCCACCATCATTCAGCCACATTACCTCAAAATGTCAAGCAATGTCCACTCATCTCTCAACCAGCCACATGCCAGCTCCTGACCCCAACTCACATCACCTCTCACCTGGGCCTGGCCCAATCTCCTGACCTCTCTGCCTCATCTCCTCCCCTCTTCTACCTGCTGTCCACTTAGCTTCCAAAAAGGCAAGCAGTAAATTGTGCCACAACCTTCCTCCCAACCTGGGACACCTCCCTACAACCTAGCTCAATAAATCCTTCCACCTCTTTCTCCACCACACATCCACTGGCCACACCTCCCCTGAGATCCCATGTCTCTAGGCCCTTGCTCTTGCAATTCCCTTGGCCAGGCAGAGCAAAATTCTACTCATGTGAGAAAGTCCACCTCCTTCTTGGCCCTCTCCAGCAGACTAGAGGTACCCTCCCTAAGCCCACAGCTCAAAGTTCAGTGGGCATCGAGCACAGTGTGTTGTTGGAGAATTAACCTTTGTGTGGAGCTGACCTGCTGACCTGCCAACCACATCGAGCTTCCTAGGGCAGGACCAGGTCTGATTCATCTCTGGAATGTGGGCATCAAGCAGAGCCTGGCACAAAGAGAGAGTCAGAACACTCTTGTTTCGAATAAGTGCCCTAGTGAGGCTGGGACCGAAGAGCTCCGGGAAGGCCTGGGAGGCCAGGTGAGCAGTCAGCAGGTGGATGGTAGGGCTCGCCTGCCTGAGCTCTTCAGGCAAGGAACTTGGAGCTGAGAATGCCAAATGCCTCACTTGGTATGACTCAGAGCCAGGCTGGGGGCTGGGACGGGAGAGGCGGAGGAAACACTGGCAGAGCCTCAAGCCCATCCAGCTGTGGGCAGCACCACCCTGTGGCATGGCAGGAGGCCACATTGGCAAGCCTTGACTCACTGCAGTCTGTTAAGTATAGGCAGGCGCCCACAGGGTGCCAGTGATGCTGCTGGGCGAGTCTCTGGCCAAGCATCCTGGGGACTGTGGGCAGCTTCCCTGGCCCCACTTGCCCCAAGGCTCTCTCCTCCCAACAAGGTACCTTGAGATCCAAGGAAACATCATGTCATTGGTCCAGGGACAGAAGAACAGCTAGAGAGATAGTATTCTAAGCCCATGATGAGATGTTGTCCTCTCAGTCTTTAAGGGCCTCCAGCCACAGCAGGAGAGCTGGGAACCAAAAACTTGACCCCAAGGATAGGGTAGAGTCTGAATAGCCTGGCCTTGGAGTGCTGGCTTCAGAATTGGAAGAGAGAGATGGCAATAACAGAAAACATAGGACCAAAGCACCAGCAGAGGCTAGAGACTCACAGTGGTGTGGCCCATTGCACTCAGGGGTCCACAGGCAGCCACGACCAGGGAAACTAGACCTGGACAGTAACAAGCAAGTGCACATGGATGCCTGGAGCAGATGCTCAGGCTAAATCTGGAAGGGGCCTCAAGCCACGTGGTCTGCAGAGTCAGCTCAAAGATGTTTCCACCCTTTCCCCAGAAACTAAAACCTCCCTCCCCCAACAAGCCCTCTTCCCAGGTCCATCCACGGCCCAGACACAGAAGACTCCTTACCACATGGGGGTTGTCATAGTAGATGGCAATGGAGCGGAGCTTGGGGGAGACGCTGCAGCTCTCGGTGAAAAGGTGCCCAGTCTCGCCATAGGACCCCTTGTGGAACTTGTAGGCCACAGTGATGTTGCAGATAGGGGGTGAGCCAGCACTCACTGCCACCTCAGCCAGCAGCCCTGAGTATCCAGCGAAGGCCAGCAGTGTCAGTAGCAGTAGCAGAGTCAGGGCCCCAATCAGGCCCAGTAGCAGCAAATCCGACATGGCTCTGGGCCCCCCACGCCGTGCCCCAAGGCAGCTGCAAGGGAGACAGAGGCAAGAGGAGGCTGGCAGCGTACCCTGACCAACGTGCCCACCTGCCTGCCAGCTGGTTCTAGCCTGGACTCAACCCTGCCTTGGGTGCTCCGAACCAGAAGGAGGATGGACCAGAGGTGTTTACACGTATAGTGACCTAGAAGAGTTACAAAGGATGCCAGAAGCCACAAGCCTCTTTATTTCTTAATCACAATAGTTGAGGCTCTCAGAGCAGCTCTGCCTCTCAGATGGCAGCTCTAGTCACACCTGGGGAAACTGAGTCATAGAGGGGCAAAGGAGTGAGTCAGCCAGAGAGCATGAGCTTACTCCTGGCCCTAACCAGCCTCCTCTTCATCCCCAAGATAAGCCAGAGGCCAGACAGCCTTTTCCCCCATTGCCTTTCTTCGCACAGGTGAGCCACACTGTCAGCCCAGCCTCCTCAAGCCTCATAAACCAGTGCCTGAGGGAAGACAGGCAAATGCCAGGGTCCCAACACTGACTAACAAATAGAGAAACCGCAAAAGCTAAATCCCAGGGAAAAAAATGTGACACAGAAACAGAATTTCTTAGGAAAACTCTCCTTTGCTAAGCATTATCTAAGCCTGTGGAGACCTTGCTATCCAGCCAGATCATACATCCAGAACCAGGGAAGACCAGAACAAAACAGCCTCAGCAGTCAAAACAAAGTCCGGCCCTAAGCTTCCCATACTTGAGCCACCAGGCCAACAAACTTCATCCCACTTGTTATGGATTGAACTGTGTCTTCCTCGAGATGTATGTTAGAATCATAATCCCTACACTTGTGGATGTAATTCCATTTAGGAACAGGATTTTCTTTGCTTTGTTCATGAGGTGTTAACAGTGTGGGGTATGTCTTAAACCTACTTCAAAAACCAAAAAACCAAACTTACTGCTGTCGAGTGGATTTCCACTAACAGCAACCCTCCTTGGGCTTCCAAGGCAGTATCTCTACGGAAGTAGATTGCTCAGACTTCCTTCCAAGAACTGGCTGGTGGGTTTGAACTGCCAGCTTTCTGGTTAGCAGTCAAATGTCTTAGGCACTATGCCACCAGAGCTCCCAAAACCTACTCTGGAGATATAGAGAAATTAGACACCAAGAGGAGCCAACACAAATGGGGGAAAGATAGATGACAAGTGCAACTGAGAAAAAGAAGCTGGAAGAGACCAAGACTTTACCCCCAAAGCAGACAGAGAGAACTTTTCCCTAGAGTTAAACCAAAACCAAACCAAACTCACTGCCATAGAGTCATTTCTGACTCACAGCAATCCCTCCTTGAGTTTCCAAGGCACTTTTCTCTATGGCAGTAGACTGCTCAGTCCTCCTTCCGAGCAGTGGAGGGTGGGTTTGAACCGCCAGCCCTCTGGTTAGGAGTCAAATGCCTTAGGCACAATGCCACCAGAGCCCCTTTCCCTAGAGTTGGTACCCTGAATTTGGACTTCTAGCCTCCTAAATTTTGAGAACGTAAACTTCTGTTTGTTAAAGCCACCCATGTGTCCTATGTCTGTTACAGCAGCACAACCAGGTACCACTTTTCAGCTCATAGAAGATTAGAAGCAGTAAGATGGGGCAAAGGCTGGTAAATGGGGAAACACAATTATCCGTAAAAGATAGAAAAGCTATACACGTGCAGCCATGGGAACTTAACAAAGAGCAAGTATACAGGCTACTTCAGGCAGCCTATCCAGCCATCTATAAACATGGGGCCAAAGGCCTAACCCCCTTACACAGAGAGCTTGGCCCAAGTTGCTCAGGGGGAAAGAAAAAAAAAAAAAATCACAGCACACAGACTTTAAGAAGACAGAGAAACATACAACCCAGTAGGGGAAAATTCCCTGCCCAAGCATTTAAAATTTACAAGGTTTTGGACCAGAAAAGGCAACACTTCAGGCCTATGGAAAATTTAGCTCTATGGAATTTGTTTTCCATGAGTTTCTAGGTGTCAGGATTTTATGCTGAAATATTGTTTTTTGAGTCAATGAGCATGCTGTATTTGCCTCATAAAGGCAAAGTAAAGTTCTAAACCTTCTTTGGAGTCATGACATTGAGGTATCTCTCACATTGGTCTTGTCACCCATTGGTGCTTCTGCCCATCAGTTTCCTTATCCTATGTACACCCATTCCCTGTCCTAGTCATTTGTCTCAAGACACTGTCTAAATGTTTAGCTACTTCACTAATGCTCATAACAATCCAGCAGGGTAGGTATAGGGAAAAAAAGAGTGATTAGAGATTAAGAGACTTGCCCAAGGTCACAGAGATATTAAGAGAGTCACCTGGATCAGAATATAGGCAATAGGAACCCAAGCAGTCTGACTCCAGGCCTGCTTTCTCCTTCCTAGTGACAGGCCTCTAGAAGGACTCAAGCATTTAAACCACATTGGACATCTCTGAATCCAAGGCTGGAAACTCTGTGTGTAGGCCCTCATTTGCCCTGGGAGTAACTGATGAACCCTGTAAGCTACATACTTCCTGTCCCCTTAAGGGAAGTTAGTTCCTACCTTTCTCTTCCTCTCTTGTTCTCAACTGCAGAGAAAAGGGGAAAAATGCACCTCTGGGGGCCCAGAGCCACAGTCAACCCAGGAAGGGGGAGAGACAACACTAATCTCTTCCACTTTCAAAAGAAAAGGGGAGGAGAAAGGCTAGAGAGGCTCACCTGAAAAGCCAAGCTCACTTTTAGCAGCTCATGGTGTGCTGTCCTGCAGAGGCCAAGTGTTCCAGGGCTGGGTGCAGAAAGGAACAGTCAGTAACAACCAGCATCTCTTCGGAAACCACTATTGTGCTGGGGCACTATGCCTTGGTTACCCCTCTTTCAGGGCAAGTCCACCGGGGCGTCCACACTGCCCCCCACCCCCATTTCCCTCTCCTCTTGACTGGTCCTCAGACCTCTTGGGGAAATCAGGATGCAAAACCAGCCTCAAAATATCTGACCTGTCACAAGGTCCCTGCTCTGGTCACTTTTTCTGGGGACCAGCAGCCACTCGAACTTCCTGAGAGGGCTTTTGTCTTGGGGGGGGGGAAGCCCCTGGTGGTGACCTTGGGCAGCCTATGCTCTCTCTTGGATCTCGGATTCCCCTCCACTCTGAGGCCCCGGATAAATATCTCAGGGCGGGTGCAGGCGTCAGGGAGTGCAGTCCCGCGCCAGCTTCCTGGCGCCGCTCACGTGCACGACGGCGGGCCCCACCCTTAAAAGGATCCGCCTCGAGGAAAACTTCGGCGCCAACAGTGAGCGGGAAGACCGCGACTCCGAGAGGCCTGTACGGGAGGTAGGGGAAGGTGCCCCCACGCTCGGCTTCTAACCCCTGCTCACCCAGCTCCTTTCACCTCAGCCACGACCTCCCGACGCCTCACGCACCTCCGTCGACTTAAGCGAAGCTAAACTTTGCAGCCTGGGTTGCGAGGCGCGGGCTCTGGGGTCCCGGTCTGTGTTAAAAGCGCAGCTCATGCCTCAGTTTCCCCCGCCCCCGACTCCACGGCCCCGGAGCCAACCTTGCACCCGCCGCCGAGAAAGTGGAAGAAAGACCAGAGGTGGTAGGCGCTGGCGCAAGGTCGCGTCCCGGCCTGGACCCTCGGACCCAGACCGGACCAGCTGTGGGACAGGACAAAATGCAACGGGCGGTCAGGGCAGCGAGGGTTACGGAGGAGACACGGGGGCGGCACTGGGGCCGCGTCCGGGCGGGTGGGGTCTCCAAGCCTTCGGCGCGCTTGGGTCTGCCGCGACAGGGACGCCTCCCTCTCGGGCCTGGCCCTCACCTCAGCGGCCACCCGCCGCGGACGCCAATCCGCTCTAGCGCCTCCCGGCTCGGTCGCCGGCTCCAAGCGCGTTCGCCGCGCACGCTCGCTCCGCCCTTCCTCGCGGCGGGACGTGGCCGTGGCCGTGGCCGTGGGCGCGTGCGCCCGGGACCTGGAGGGCGGAGGCCTGTCCCAGCTCGTCTCCATAGCAACGGGCGTGCGCCAATCCCCGGGAGCTGGGCGGAGCCCACTGCGTCCTTTCCCGCCTCCAACAAACTTCTTGTTGGTGGCGAGGGTGGTGTGCCTTAGCAACGGCCCCTCGGCGTCCGAATCGGCGTGAGCTGCACAAGGACCGCCTGGCCCCAGGAGAGGAGGAAAGTCAGGGTGGTGGTCCGCAGCAGAGACTAGGGTAAGGAAGCCGGACCAAGGAGAAGTGTTTGGAGGGGTTAGGGAGGGGTGGCATAACAACCCGTGGTCCTGTCACATTCTTTCACTGAGGCTTTGTGACACTCCTGGGAACCAGGCAAAGTAGGGCCACTTGCTCCCGTGTTACATCTGAGGCCCAGCCACGGTTCAAGGAAGAAACTGGTGGACCCTACCTCTGGGCAGAGAAAATACCTGCTTCCTGTCTCGCACCCCTCCACCGTACGATGAGTGCCACTGCCCACCAGCCCAGTTCTAGGCGCTGGGGCGAACAAAACCAAGGCCTTGCTTTCCTGGAGCTCATGTTCCAGGGAGACTACCCCCTTCCAGGCTCCTCTCTTGATGCCCTGGATGCTGGTCTCTTAACTTGAAAGGTGGTTGGAGACGGCTGGTCTCATCTTCTGGCTTAGGCTACCCTAGGTGACTCTCAGGTCAACTGTAAATTCTTTTCAATCTTAGCTATTTCTGAGCTCTTGCGAACTACAAAGCATTCTGCTAGTGCTCCAAAGATAAAACCTCTTGAAAGGCCCAGTCTTGAGGGGGTGAGGGCAGGTTGGGGAGAGGACAGCTGCGCTTGTAAGCTTAGCTGCAAGACAGGCTGGGCCTTGGTAATCCCATATAGAGTCTTGATGTTTAGGAGGGAGATTAATCTGATGGGACACCAGGAAAGCAGCTGTGGAAAAGTCAGCAGCCATGGGTTGGATACATCTTGTGGATCCATCACCACCACCACCACTAGCAAAGGACAGGTGAGGCACTCATAACTCTGGCTTCTTTCCCATTGCTTCACTGTCTTCC